AAATGTTCTGGATCACAGAAAGGTTAAAATCCTAGCCGTTGAACTAAAAGGTTGGTTGTGTTTCAGCAATATCCACCACGGCTCCCACTTGTTGGTGCATTAATCAAGAATCTTTGCTGCTCAGAAATTTGGCTCAGCTCAAGCTACTTTTTCTTTCTAGTTTTCAAAACATAGAAATACAGAAATCAATACGAWCACACACTYTCAATCTTTTGGCTACAAATATTCTATCAATATGTAAAAAAAAAAAGTATTATGTTCTAGATTAAACTGAATGCTATGTCGTATACAGAATTATTACTTCTCCCTCCACAACTCAATATCATCCACAATAGCAAAACAAATACTTAGGAAAAACAGCAGGAGAACTAGTTAAGATGCCACCAAACGCACAGGATAATTCAACCCAATTCAACTTGTAATTCGGCATATGTAAAGAAAGAGAAAAAATAAATAAAACGATTGGTGGAGGGGGACATGCAGCAACAGAACTCACAGCTTCTCCCGGAGCTCCGGCGTATCTTTGGGAGTCCCGAGGGTATTAACGAGGCGCTGAAACGTGGAGACGGCGGTGTTGATCTGAAACACGCCGGAAGCAACGGCCTGCGTCGAGTCCTGCTTCCCATTGATGTAATCACGCCTCGAAGCCAAAAGCCGACCAGATTCGAGATCCTGGAAGCTCATCTCTTCGGCCTAGAATTCTCAAAAAKAACTGATTGGTATCTTTCTGAAAACCTAGAGGCCTGTAATTGGCTAACTTCGAGAAGAATCCAGCGCCGATATTGGGTTGTTGATCGGATTTAGGGCGAGAATTCGAAAACAACGCCGCGAATTGAGGAATAAAAAGGCTCCAAAATCCAAATTGAGGCGTTAAAGACAGGCAAAGAGGCAAGAAAAAGCAAACAGAGAGAAAGCTGTGGCTTGGAAAGGTGTCTTCTATTTTTCTTCGACCAAAATAAAAGAACTATTTCGTAATATTTTATATTTTTGGGGTGTCAAAAATAAATAGAGAAAAATAATTGTTTATTCAGTTCCCGCCAGCGCGTCGACGTTGGTTTGGTCGAAACACGACACGTGGTATTTTAGAGTCGTAAAGAATGACGGAAGTTTCGAACCTTGTACATTTAAATTCCAAATTTCCAACAATACCAATGTACGATTTGGAATGCAGCTTCCAATCCAGACCGTTATACCAGAATCTATAGTCACAGATTGGACTGTAGCCCACCATTCATTCAAATCTTACTCCATCCATCCATCAACTAGCGAGCACCCCGTAATAATTACGGGGCAATTATAAATTTATAACCATGAATTATTTTGGTTTTTGTTTTTTGTTTTTTAATAATATTGTATTATTTTATTTGATATATTTAATTTAAATAATTAAATTTAATATGGGCCCAGTGGWAACTTTTTTATAAATGGCCATGTGTCTAAAGTTAATACTTTTTCTAGTTCTTACTTTTTTCAGAATGGTAGTATATAATATATATATATATATATATGTATATATAATACATATATATAATATATGTTTTAGAGAAAAAAACTTTTATTTAAGAGTAGAAAGTATCTTAAAAAAAATAGAATGCCATGTCCGCAAAGAAAATAGAATATATATTTTTAGAAAAAATAAAATGTCATATATATATATATATAT